CCCTTTATATAAGAAAATACAATTAAAGAAAATCTATGATATTTATGATACTACTGACAATAATAACAGAGCTAACAAATATGCTAATTATATTAAATATGTTATAAATGATAATAATAATATAAATAATAGAAATATAACAAATAATATATGTGTCCTATTTGGCAGATATAGCAGATTTGGCAGATCTGGCAGATCCAGCATATTTGGCATATATGTCATATTTGACAGGTTCATCAATTTTTTGCCGGTTTCAACGTTATGAGATATTTTCAATTATATATACTAATATTATTTTTTTCAAAATTTCTATTGCTTTAGTATGATTATACAAACAAGCTTGTCTTAAATACTTAATACCTTTTTGAATATCCTTTTCAAAATTAAGTTTACCCGAAAAATATACATCGCTAAGGTTATAAAAAGCAGTAGCATTATTATTATCAGCTGCCATTTTTAAATATTCCATGAATTTTTTACTATCAATATTTTGATTTTCCATATCAATTAAACAGAATTAAGAAAATGAGAGGTTTTTTTTCTCAAATCTAAGAATTACTTTTATATAGACATACTATATTTAAAAACATTTAATTTTTTTTTTACCCAAAGTTTATGCTTTAATTTTAACGTTAAAAGTTAACGCTGCCCAATAATTAAAAAGAAACCACCCCTGTATAAGTTCGTATTGGCTGCAGTTTTAGCAAGTTGAAAGTTTGAAATAATGACGTTAAAAAAATAATTAATATAAATTCTTAAACAATCAGAGTATATTCCTATTATCTATAATATGGTTGTTAGATAAGAATATAAATAAATCATATTAGACGGATCTTTTTTTTTTTGTTTTTCATATAAATGATCGACAAAAAATGATTTTATTACCTCGCCTCGTGATAAAATAATATTATACCGTATAAAAGTTCTGTTTAAAATATTCAAAATTAAAAATCAAAAATATTAATCTTTTCATTTTATCATGTTACAGGACGAAACAAACAAACCTATATTTGCGTTTATTGATAGTGATTGGTTTGATTCTGATGAAGAAGAGGAGGATCCTATATGTAAAACTTTTCGTCCCCTTATTTCCCAATAAAAGCACATAATGAAAAGAAATATGCAATTGCATGGGATTGTTTTGTAAACCAATCCGAAATTGATATCCCGAAAGCAAAATATTGGAAGGGTCATTATCTTTATAATGGAATAAATGTATCAAAGGATATAGATGAAGCAATTAAGTTATATAAAGAAGCAAGCTGATGAAGATGTTGCCGAAGCTTCATTTCAATATTGCAATGTGTATTTTACAACATCATGGAAACAATTTTAATAGGCAGGATTATGAAAGATATCTAAGGAAAGCTGCTGATCGTAAACATATCAACGCACAATTTCATTTAGCTGAATTTTATATTCATGGTAAATTTGGAATTGAAAAAAATTTAGAAGGTATTAAATTTCTAAGGTTAGCCGCGCTCGAGAATCACTTGGAAGCATGGGATTTGATCTATGACCTTAAGGAACTTAAGATCAATATTTATGATTAAATTTATTTTTATTTATTTTTATATTTATATTAAAGATATTGTATATTGTAAAAAAAAGTACAGTAGGGTATTTGCGATAAATATCACGAATCACGAACATTCTTATAATAAAAATAACTTAAATATTTTTTTTAAAAAAAAAAACTTATGTAACGTAATAAATAATACCTAATCTAACTATCATAGAAATAAAAATAATTAAATATTTTTTTAAAACTTACGATTTATAATCAGATTCATCATCTTGAACATAATAATTAATATCTAATTTATCTAGCATAGCACGAGCTTTTGGCTGACCTTTAATAGCAGCCAATTTTAAATAACTCAAACCTTTTTGTGGTTCTTTTGGTACACCTAATTTACCATTATAAAATAAATCACCCAAATTAAATTGAGCAGCAGTATTTCCATTATCAGCAGCCATGGATAAATATTTTACAAATTCATCTAAATTAAACGTAAGTGGACTGTTTTTATCCGATAAAGCAAACGCATATCTTAACTGAGCATCAGGAACCCCTTTATCAGCGGCTTCTTTGAATAATTCAGCTCCTTTTCCCGGCGACTTCTTAACGACATAGCCTTCCCAATAATAATAGCCTAACCAATATTTTGCTACTTTGTTACCTATGTCAGAATGATTTTTAAAGCATTCATAGGCTTTTTTCTTATCTCCATTTTTATGAGCTGTTATTCCGTCTTCAAGTTTCATCATTGGCATAACAATTTGATCTAAATCGAAATCTGGTGTACTTGGCAAATCAAAACTTTCATAAGATGATGATTCTCGATGCTTTGTTTCAATAGGTTTTATGTCTTCTTCACTAGTTTTTTTGGCGATTAATCCTGGTGAAAGTATAGGCAAAGGAGCACTTAACTGTTCGAGATCGTTAAATAAATAATTTAATTCGGGACGAAGAGAAGGATCTTGCTGCCAAGCTAAAAATGTAAATTTTAACCTAATTAATTAACATTGTTATTATTATTATTTATTATAAAAAAAGAAAAATACTATCATACCAGCTTTGATAATGTTGCCAAATTTCTTTTCAATTTGACCATATTGACTTAAAGGAAAATGTAACATTTCTCTTTCGCCTTTTAATACATGTTCCTGAATTCGAGAAATCTCCCAATCTTTATATGGAAATTTCTGAAAAGCCAATTCCCAAAGTAACATTCCAAAACTAAGAAAAGAAACATTTCCATTAACTTTATTAAGTAAATCATTTTCAAGAAATATAATATTTACCTAAATATTTCACATTGAATGGTATAAGGAACATAATCATCATCTTTGTTTTTATCTTTTTTAGCATCATCTTTCTTAGACGGTTGTGATTGTGGATTGCTGACTGCACTAATGTGCTGATTCAATTTCTTTGAATTCATTTTCTCGGGAGCTAGCCAACGGACGATTTGTGTAATATTTCCAATATTAGTAGTGTCATCTTGTAAAGCACGACTATATTTAAAATTCGAAATTTTCGGTTCTGAAGTTTCGGTCATTAATATGTTTTCACACCTAATGTAAAGGAATAAATTTGAATTAACAATGTCGAATAAAATTTCAAATTCTCAAATATAGCTTTTATCGTGAAGTAAAGGCCTACCGAATGTCATGATGCAAAATTTGACTATGAAACAACAAATTCAGTGAGTAGAAGTAATAATTATGTTAACTATTGATTCAAAAATCCTTTGTACTTACCAACCATGGAGAAAAGTAATTCCACGACAAATATTCAGAGCAATTTTTAATTTTCGAGGCCAATCAATATCATATCTCTCATAAAGTTTTCTCAAATTTCCTTTCTCAGCCCATCCAAATACACCCAAAGTATTTCCATTCATTTGACTTAATCCATAAAAGTTAATAATATAATCACATTTTCCTAAATTACTTAAGATAGCTAATTCCGCGTGAATTCTATTTGTTTCCAATTTACTTGAATCGGATTTATTATTTTCTTCGGTAGGAAAGACGATTACTTTACATGCCACATCTAGACCCCTATAACGTTTTTTTTGTATCTTGACCTGCTTATTACGTGTAGAAGATGTTGGATTATTAGGTGGATCTATTAATTCATTTGGTTGAATGTGTTTGATAGTAGGATTAAAATCTTTTTCGAATGACTTTCCTTTTAAAGTTAAGATATGCTCGAGAACATTACTAATTTTTTTATCTATAGTTGTCACACCACCTTCAATTTTTTGCAAGAATTTTGTCATTTCTTCAATATCTTCTTGTAAAATATTAACATCTTTCTTTCTTTCCTCCTCATTAGCAATTACCATTGCCAATTGTAAATCACCAACGATTTTGTCAAATTCATTAACCAATTGTTGAAACCTTTCTTTAATAGCACCACTTGAAATAAATTTTCTGTAACCTGATAAAATGGTTACATCTTGAATATAACCCTTAATATCTCTCAAAGTAGCGACAAATCTTTCAAAATGGAAATAATAATTTTGATTACGAAAATTTTTCTCATTTTCTTGTTTACGACGATTTAATGCTTGAACAGCTACTTCGGCGGCTTGTACCCTTTGGATCAAAGCTGCGCATGATTTCTTATTATACTGAGCATTTTCATAAGCTTTCACAATTTGAGCTGTAAGTGTAGTAACTGCCGCTATCAAAGGAAGAAAGGGCCCGACAGCCTCTCCTAAGGTGCCTACGGTTCCTAAAGCTAATTTGAAATGGTCTCCTACAGAGCTCGGACATGACGGGGCCCCTCCTGGGTTTATAACGGTATTGAGTTCTTGTATGACTTGAATAGTCTCGCTTGTTGAATTTGCTGTTTCGTCCAATATCTTATCAGCTTTTCCCATGCTTTAATTTAGTTAATTATTATATTTTTGTTTTGTAAAAATCAAAAATTTTTTTTTTTTTTAAAAAAAAAAGAAATCATCTACCTTTTTTTATGCTTTGATTACGGAAATTATGTTCCTGATTTCCGATTTCTAGGAAATGAATTTTAGAAAGTCATTTGCTTTTAATTTTGTTACACAAATCGACCAGGAATTTTGAGACGCCCACATAATATATCTATCACATTGTTTGTATTTGTCACCAATGTCACACAAATTCACGTGTCTGAGATTTGGGAGTTATTATTTAACGACACTGCTCAAGTAAAAAGAAAAGAATGAAGTATAGTTTACGGACGAAACTATTTCTCAAAAAACATTTTTCTCCGAAACTAAACGATACGAAACTAAATTTTGGAAAAACTTCGTAGATCAAATTGATTTGGAATAGATTATCAATAAGCATTTATTCATTGTAATATTTCTATTAACGATACGTAAGTTAAAGTTCTTTCTGAGCATAATATATTTTTTTTTCTGCCAACTCAGAAATTGAATTTCTTCAACCAAGGATTCATCATCCAATCAAAGAAATTAAACATTTCCCTTCTCAAGGCGAAACAATTTTATCATAACAGATTGCGAATCTAAGAATGGAAGAAATGTAAAAGTGATTTTTTATTTTACAAAGATTTGTCACGGTTTTTCACATATATCATCTTGAAAAGCCTTTAATGAACAATAACATTTTGAGCAATTTCAAAAGAAAATTATATTAAAAAAAAAAAAAAGAACTCTTTGCTTCTTATATCAGTTTCAATTTTTTTAATACCTAAATTATATACTGCTCAGTTATTCCTTTTTATATATCACCAAATCATTTAAGGGTAAATTTATAAATATTTTTTTTTTTATTTCCGAAACTTACACAATATTTCCGATTTGTTTCTTCTGCTTTCAAAAGTTCTCGCTCAATGTCAATAGCTTATTAACAAGTTCCTACTTTGAGAGTACGTATATTAGAATAATATTCAGATTCGGACATATTATTTGAATCACGTGAAAGCATCTCAAAGAGTGCCAATGCGTTTTTAATTTGCGGAAATTGTTGAATTTGATAAATATAAATAGACGCGTTATATATACTTTGTGTTTCTCGTAGTCAGATAAATTCATGCCCTCCCAAAAAATAAAAAAGCAAATTAATTTACAGATTTTTTATTAATTAATTGATTCAAAGTTCCTGTATAGTCACGCCCCTCGGGACCAAAAAATTTTGGTGTGATTATAAAGATCTATATGATGTGACTACAGAGGAGTATTTTTTAATAAAGACAATAATGCGCTTATAAGAAGGGAGTGACTATTTAGAGGGTCGACTGTATTTCGAAATTCTATTTATATAAAACTTAACTTCGTCTCGTTCAAGATGGCCTTCCCATTAAAGATTGGTTGCCACTAATTCAGCTCGCAAAAATTAGAATTAGTATGAGTTAAACAAGTAATACTTTAGTTTTCTCCAACTTAATAGCAGATTTCTTCAATTCGGTAATTTTCCAGAACATCCTGTTTGCTTTAATTTGATTAATTTTACCAGAATTATATTTTTTAATTAATTAGAGGTAGGGATGGATTGGTCCTGGTAAGACCGGTCTTTGCGGTCCTCGGTCCATATTCTGAGGAACGGTCCTTTATTATTTATAGCATATTAATGTTAATTTTATTTAAAAATTAGAGTTGGATCGACCCGGTTTTCATTTCTCTTATGGAACGGTCCGCCCATAAGTCAGTCCTTGGACCTGTCCTAATATTTTACTGTAACGATAATGCCCGAAATGAAATATCGGAAATGGAGAAATAACGAGATTAAGAAGGCGCAGTAATCATTTCGTATGCAATGATTTTATTATTATACTTTTTATTTATTAAATTTATACAATTATTTTATTAAATTGATAATTTTATATTAAACCGATCCTTGGACCAATCTTATAAATCGGTCTGGTAAGAAACAAATCTTGGACCGGACCGGACTGGTAGGACCGAATGGTACAAGACCGGTCTTAGGACCGGTCCTTGGACTGACTTATGGACCGGTCCGTTCCAAAGAAAGATGAAAGACCGGTTCTTTTTGGACCGGACAGATCCAATCCTAAAATTAGAGGCCGGATGTCCACAGGTGGTGGTGATTAGACCGTTATCAGTTGATCCGTTAAAAATTAAGTTTGATTTACTTAAATTATTCATTTATAGACAATAATTAGACAATACTATTATATAACAGTTTAATTAATAAGAAAACATTATAATTAACGATTATAACTTTAATAATTAAAAATATTCTCCATAATATTAATTAACTTTACATGACCTTTTAATAACTACAATCTAATGACAATTTATCACATAAGTTTATTTACAAGTATTGGTTATTATAATTGAATCATAAAATGATATGTATTACTTCTTGAATAGACTCAATAGGAATAAACATAAACTCTTGAAGACTTTTAAGAAGAGGACATTTATAAAGATAAGATTGATTAGCTATTTACAAATTATATCATTGAAATAAAGCCAATACAAAAGCATTTGATAAAAAAGGTAAATGAATTTTAACTAATAGAAGTACCCATCTATAATAGTATCCTTTATCAATTAAATATTGACTATTTTCAAATTCATTTATAATTTGCAATTATTCAACTAAGATAAATTATAATAATCATTTATAGTATGAATATATTCTCCAATAATAAGTTTAATATATAAATGTTTTTATTCAAATTAAATTACGATCTTAATTACATAGCACATCGTATATTATATCTAAATACCAATCTAAATATAAACCAATTTTCTTATACATACTAATTGCTCTTCACATGCTTTTTTTATCCTAAATCATTAAAAACTTATTCTCTTTTATTAAACTAAATTTCTGTTGAGTTATTTTTCGATAATATTTAATTATTATAGTTTAATAATAGAAAATTGAATTCGTTAGTATTGTTAACGTGAAATCCGTTCAGATTACAATTGTTAGATACGGTGTTAGAGGGTTGACTCTTTTATAGTCTACATAATAATTCTAATTAGTTAACAAGATTCCTAGCTAATTTACTGCTAGTTTATTGAGTTAATTCAGTTTATTAGACGTGAACAGCTTCAATCACAAGTTAAAAGTGGTCACAGTAAGTTCAAGAAGAGATTTAGATAAGAAATAAGAAATACTTTATTGAAGTAAAAGAAAATAATACGATAATAATATATGAAAGAAATAAGAAATGAAAATAAGAAATAGAGATACATGAAGTAAAGAGTAGCGTTGTGCTATCTTTTACAAGAGAGAGGTTCTATACAGCCATCAGTTCTGTCTTTTCTAATTGACAAAGAGGTTGTATTTATATCTATTTTATTACATATTGTGACATATCTAATATATTAACTATGTTAACTATATCAACTATATTAACTATATCTACTTTATTAACTATGTTAGACATATCTAATATGCTAGACATATGAACTATATTAAACATGTTAGACATGTTAAATATGTTTGACATTATCGACATTATACTTTGTTACACAATTGTAGATCTATGATCGTTAAGATCGATACCTGGCCACAGTATTTATCTATAATAGTTTAATGATAAATCTAAAATAATAATCAAAATTTAATATTATTAATTAAATTATAAATTTACATTTAATATCTGACTTACCTGATTCCAAATTTGTAAAATTACATTATATTTATTAGTTTTATAATAGGGTCTTTAACAAAATATTTATGACTTATTTTAAACATTTCTGTTATTATATCATTTAAATTTCTATATACTTTTATAGATTCTAATAAATGATATTGTCAAGCATATAATTTAAGTATTAATAAATTTGATTTTGAATAATTACCAAGTTAAATTATAAATTTAGAAGATCAATCTTTAATTATTTCTAAAAATATAGAAAAATTTTTAAATTTTTAAGATTATTATGATATAAAGATTATTAAAAAATTATATTTACCTTAAAATATTATAAATTTGTATTTATAAAATTATCTTTTTAAGAAAATATATATATATAATTTTATTAAACATATAAATTTACTATTTGATCATTTTTTTTCAATATATAAACTATTTATTATAAAGATTATTATCTTTATTAAAGTTCTATAATAGCTAATTATATATAATTAAAGTTTTAAATCCTTCAAAAAATTGTATAAGTCTTTGAAAAAGTAGTATTGCTACTAATTTTTTATCAATTTATTAAACTGTATTACTTTTAAGATCTTTTACAAACATTGGTATAAGTAAATTTTTAAAAAGGTCAAGATCAGCAATATATAAAAAATCAGAAATATATACTATATAAATATTGAGTTTACTGTAAATAATAATAATAAATTATTGATTAAAATTTAAAATATAAATAAAATAATAAGAAATTTATATTTTTCTTACCAAAATTCTCAGAAAAATTATTTAATAAATAAATAGATATTTTTTGATCAAGTTGATTTAGAATTACTTGTTATATAGTAAAGTTCCGCATAAGCCGGCTTGGCTTGGATTGCCACTGGCTTGAGCTGAGCCACTTTTTTTTGGCTTAGCTCAGCTCAGATCATGGAGATCAATTGACAAGCCAAGCTAAGTCAAGCCAGCTCGTTTGACTTGCATTTATATTTAGAAATGAAAAACCATTGAGAGAAACATTTCTCATCAAGAGATATGTTCCCAGAATAATTTCCTTTAAGAGGAATATTTCTAGAGCATTTTCCATTAAGGAATTCACTTCTGGAGCATTTTCTTTAAAAGAATTCACTTTTAGAGCGATTTCCTTGAAGGATTTCATTTTTGGAGCAATTTTCTTGAAGGATTCGCTTCTAGAGCATTTTCCATAAAGGATTTCACTTTCAGAGCATTTTCCATAAAGAATTTTACTTCTGGAGCATTTTTTATTAAGGAATTCGCTTCTGGAGCGATTTCCTTGAAGGATTTTGC